GCTGACCCGTTTTCAACCCGCTTCAACCCGGGTCAGCTCGGTTCAGCTCGTTACTGTAGCTTAATGTGCAGGTTAGGACGGGTTGGTCGGGGGTGAGTTTTGGACAAACATATTTTGGATAACAGTGCACCGTACCCGCTAAGCTCGTTAACCCGTTAACGAGTTGTTAACGGGCTACAGCCCGTTATCAGCCCGATTACCGTTACAAATTCTTTTCTTTTTTTAATTATTTGGACCGTCGCCAATGGTCAAAATTTAACTAAAGAAAAATTATTACACTAGCCCGGCCCGCCCGAACCCGTTAAGCCCGAACCGAACGGGACCACAATAATTCGAAATTTCCTAACCCGCTACCAGCCTATTATCCCAGCCCGCTAACCAACCCAGTCCGATAACGGACGGCTGTTTTTTTTTTTCAACCCGTCCCAGCCTGCCCGGTAAACACTTTTATTTTCAGCTTTCAATTGCTAATATTACCATGTTAAAATGACTATAATTTCAATTCAAAATGGATAAACTTTGCTATATATTATATAATAATCAAGCATAAACTAACTCCGCAGGCTATGGGTACAGTTGGTAAATCTGTAACACATTTTGATACTTTGTCATATGCGGTTTGTTATCAAAATCTATTTTTACCAAATGAGAGAGTATTTTTCTCACCTTTGGGATGCAGTCATTAGCTTAATCATTATAATTGGAAATCTACTTCAATCACACTTAAACAATACTATCAATCTTTAATATAGTCTCCAGGATACAACCTCACTACCCCTCTAGGGTAGGGGTAAGGTCTGCGTACACTCTACCCTCCCCAGACCCCTGCTGATGAGATTTATGTGTTGCTGTTGTTGTTCATCTAGACACTATCTGATCTCTAGCACTGTTATCAATCTATAATAAAAAATAAAAATAAAAAAAAAAATTCACTATCCATCAAGCGTCGGAGAATACATTTTCTAGAAAGAAATTTCTGAGGCAAAGCTTATTTGTAATTTACATGGTATTGCTCATCTAGTAAAGGATGATGTGCGGTGCGTATCTGATAATTTTATCTCACGTGACAGTTGCGTTGCAATATTTGGTGGTGGATTGATGAATTTCCCACAAATTTTCTTCTGTGCGTAATACTTTTCTTTAAGCATAATATAATGATAGTTTATGTATTTTTGACTTTGCTGAATGCAATAGAGCCTTAGTTCAATGATTATTAACGTAATTAGATTTGATTTAGGCTCAATATGAATAAAGACACATGACGGATTTCTAATTTTTCTTTTAGTTAACAAACGATAGTTCTAAATTTTGTTTTAAATTACTTTTTCTGAAAAAAGGAAAATTTTAAAAGAGAATGTCTAACCGCTAAGAGATTTATAAATTATGTATGAAATCCTTATCGGCCGTGCTGGAATAGCTCAGTTGGTTAGAGCGTGTGGCTGTTAACCACAAGGTCGGAGGTTCAAGCCCTCCTTCTAGCGTCCAAATTTTCTTCTTACAACTATTTTTCTGTATTTTGTTTAATCTGATAGTAAAAGCACATATGGTATGTCCTACAGCTAGCACACGCTTTAACTTTTCATACTCAGAGATAAGTCCTCTCTTCTATTACTTTTTTTTTTCCTCTCTGTTTTGGTTTGAAGTGAATGTTTCGAAAATTGAATTTCCAGTTACTCTATGTACAAGCTTTCTTGAGCTCAATATATTTGAACTAAGGGTAAATTTATTATTTTAATACAAACATTGAGCGGAAAGAAATATTTAAGGCATGTTCCCGAATTATATATTAAGATCAGTTATAATAACAAGAAAGAAATAACGTTGGATGGTCCTTTTAACCACTATTCTCTTTATATTTTGATCCCATTAAAAAAAATTGAAAGATAGCTTTGTATCATAACTATAAAGCACGGTGGTAAAAATTATATAGCACGTTGGTCAGAATTTCGACGATTACTAGAGTTTTCAAGCACCATGAATCTTAATGATCAAGAAAGGGAAGTTTTTTCTTTCTTTCAATCCCAATACGAGAACAAAGAAACCACTCAAAAATGAAAGTTAGATTATTTTAATACAATCATTGAGCGGAAACAAATATTTAATGTTCCCGAGTTATATATTAAGATCAGTTATAATAACAAGAAAGAAATAACATTGGATGGTCCTTTTAACCACTATTCTCTTTATATTTTGATCCCATTAAAAAAAATTAGAAAAATAGCTCTGTGTCATAACTATAAAGCACGGTGGTAAAAATTATATAGCACGTTGGTCAGAATTTTGAAGCATCAAGAATTTCAATGATTACTAGAGTTTTCAAGCACCATGATCCTGATGAACAAGAAAGGGAAGTTTTTTCTTTCTTTCAATCCAAATAAGAGAACAAAGAAACCACTCAAAAATGAAAGTTAGATAAAGAAGTCTTAGTAAGAACTAGCACTAGACTTCTTCTCCCCTTTCTTTTCTACTTTTTCTTCCTCCTTTTGTTTGTGCTTCCACCCGGGCTTTTCGTTCTGTTTTATAGAGACCCGGGAAAATTCTATATAATAATAAATGTAGAAAGGTGAGGGTGAGGTACTTTCCCAGGCATACGGAAAGAAAATCCAGGACGACGGCTTTCAAAAGACGAGTAAGTGACGGGGAGAGGGAAGCTCTCGAAACCAAACGAGACTAGAAAGAATGTGGGAATTAGCACCATTCATATGAGTGTTTTTGTCTCTTCGAGACAACAAAAGGACAGCCCTCTCTATATCTCGGTCTCGGTTTAGCATCATATATCGCTCTAGAGAGCATTTTTCTTGGTTGTAGTGTGGATGTTGGAGCAACTCCTCTATGCCGTGGGTGTGGAGGGGGGCTGTCGCCGCCTGATAGAGGCAGAAACGGGGGCCACCGGAGCTATCTGCGTCGGTTGTTTCGATTGAAAGAGGAAGGGAGACAACTCAAATGCCAACACAAAAATAGAAAGAGTTGTGCTTCAAAGTGGAATTCTTCTAAGATCCATTGCTCGATTTTGCTGCATGCTCTGCTCCCAAAATGCAGAGAGATTTGCGAAGGCCGATTCGGGTTGGTTGATCTGGAAGTTATAGGAGAGGCAAGCTAAGTAAAATAATATATTGATGCTATTGATTACAGAATCTTATGAATCAAGCACGGCACACTTTCTATATCTCCTCCGTCTACAAGGTAAACAACTTAGCTTAGAGCACAGCATGTTCGCCACCACATTGGCTGGTTGGTGCATTGGCCTTACCGTAAGAAGTCCGAGAGCGATATATCTCGTGATACGCTCCGCGTGGCATTTTTTCTATAGAAAGTTCATATAACTTCAAAAGAATCATTCTTTATGATTCAAGTACCATTCAAACAAAGGGTGCATTGCCTCTTTGAGTGAAGAAGAGAGGGGCTTTGTATTGACACTCTTGAGCTATGTTCGTCGCCCTAGGCTTACCATTATTTTATTTCATTCTATTGATTGGTTCTAGCTCCAAAGAACATATACATGGAGCTATGCCGACTTACGTACGTCTTGCTGACTAAACGATCAGGTATACCATGCCACGTATCATCACCTCTTTCCATAGAGGAGAGACAAATGAAAAGTCGAAGATATAGTGATCGTGCCGTAAGATCTTGTTCCTTTCTGCTTGACTACATAGTATTCCACTTGTGTAGTGGGTGTATGGGCTAGCCCATGATGCGGTCAGCTATGATATACTCAACTTCTTCTTTAGTAGGTTTATCTATAACATCTGGTGGTGCCCTCGTGGGCACGTTCCTCTTTGGGGCGGTTTGGTCTAATCGAAGTCAATTGACTCACATGGAATATAGGATTCGTTTTCACCGAGCTGGTCGCTTGAGTCTATAGGCTACCTTTCCTATTCGCTTTTCTACAAGGTCTACTTTCAGACTAGGCCAGGCCTTTAGGTTGTTTAAGTAGGTTTGGGCTAAGGTCGTTGCGCTCCTGCCACCTCTTGGCAAAGTAGGTTGATGGGCAAGTCCCCTCCTGTTACAATAGTGTGGGGCGTCAGAGGCTGTTACCCCATGGCCAACTCGAAGGGGCTTAAGTTCGACGCATAGCTTATTGGTTGTTAAGTTATAGCAGGATTGAGCATCATCTAACAGCGTAAGTCCTTCTGGTTTGCACTAAAATGGCTTAAGTAGCCCTCGAGGAGTCCGTTTATTCTCTTCGTCTGAGCTTTCAAAGATATTCGGCCACAATGCAAAAAATTCTTGTGATTGGTCACAATGTTTTTTGCAGTTGCACAAAAATATGGCTACCATAATTTGCAAAATTATGTCAACCGTCAGAATTATGTCAAATCACTATAAAATGTACCAAAGATTTTATGACTAGCATACTTCAAAATTTTCATCTAAGACTATTTTTCTAAAACTTTTCTTACCTGATTCAAAATTTATATGGTGGCACCAAATGATCCTATTTGTGACATTCTCTGGATTACAAGTTACTAAACCCAATGGGCCGTTATTTTCGTAAAAATAGCACGATATAGCCAGTTTTCGGACTGGTCAATCAAAAATAGCCAGCGTTTACCAAGTCAATGAAAAATAGCCATCGTTTTGCTGCAATAGAGACCGGTCCAGCATAATATACTGGAGTTCGGTGCACTTGTGTATGAACTCCAGCATATTATGCTGGACCGGTATACTTTGCTGGCTCAAGTATAATATACTGGAGACTGGAGCACTGGTGCTCCAAACTCCAGTATATTATACTGGACCAATATACTTGCTGGAACTCCAGCATAATATACTGGAGTATTTTCCGGATTTTGAACAGTGTTTTCGCTCAGATTTATCTTTACATAAAAAGTGGTTAAATTTCGATTACTTTTGAAATTGTGCTATTTTTGAACGACCAGTTGTAAATCTGGCTATTTTTAAATTTCTCCCGTTATTTTCTCCATCAATGGGCCGTTATTCAATAAACCAAATCCAGCCCACTCAATCTAAACTGTACAGCTGCCTCATCCTTTATACACTTCAAAACCCTAGGGTTTCTTTTCTTACTTCCCGCAAACAAAGCTCTTGGCTTCCACACACACACACTCACACACACCAGCTCTGTAGTTGCCTCTTACTCGCAGGTACTCCTCTCTTAGCCAAAACTTCTTCAGATTTTACGTCAATATTCAATATTTCCATTTTCCCAAGCTCTTAGAAGAACATGATTATGGTATCTCTAGCTTTGTGTTATTGATTATCTGTTAAAGTTTGAAATATTGGAACAAATAGAGAAACCAGTGCTGATTCGAAAAAAATGACGTTTTTCCTTGACCCCTTTTGAGTTTGTACATTGGATTATCTGTATAGTGTTGATGTTATTTTTTTTCTTTTGTATATCTACCAATGTGTTGATGTTAAATGTGGTTCAGTAGAGCAAAATGGATGTAGATGATTTATATAGCTGACTCCGATTTGTTTGATTAAAATGCTGTTTTGTTGATACATATTATTTAGGAAAAGTTTCTGTTGTATCAATCATACATTTAGAAAAGTTGATTATTTGTAAGTTGTTCGTGTTGAGTGGTTCTTGCCTGATGCTTTATGGTACTTATTTTGGGTTATTGTTTAATACTGTTTAATTGGTTTGATAAACAGATCTGTGAAGATGTACACGTCGAAGCAAAAGATTCACAAAGATAAAGATGCTGAACCTACTGAGTTTGAGGAGTCTGTTGCACAGGTTACGTTTTGTTCTTACATGATGGCATTTGTTATTTAAAATCTAAATAGGTTCATTGGGTATAATGTTTAAAGAAAGGCATTAAATTGTTTCTGAACAGGCTTTGTTTGATTTGGAAAACACCAACCAAGAGCTGAAAAGTGAATTGAAGGACCTATACATCAATTCAGCAGCGTATGTGTAGTCAAGTCTATGTTACACCTTTTTTAATGGCTGTCTAGTATATGTTGTAGTTAGTCTATACTATGTTTTTCACATTGTAGTAACTGGTTTTGTTTCTGTGTTATTGCAGTCAAATTGATGTGTCAGGAAACAGGAAAGCTGTTGTTATCCATGTGCCCTATAGACTGAGGAAAGCTTTCCGCAAGGTTCATGTTCGCCTTGTTAGGGAGTTGGAGAAGAAATTCAGTGGCAAGGTAACTATTGAATTATTTTCATTATTTTGTCTTCATAATTGCCTTCGAAAATGTTCTCAAGGATCGGGTTTAGAGTGCTTAATCTGAAATGCACATGCTATTTTAGTTAGTTGATGGTTATCAAATCTGGTTGTGATTTGTAATGCATTCATTCTTCATAATTCCCATTATGATTCGTCAATAACCAATCCTTTCCTCATGGCGCTGCACATTTTTTTTTTCCTATGTTCTGCTTCGGGAACTTGTATTTTCTTAGGCGTCAAGGAGGAAAATATTTGAGATTGCCTTCTAGGATTGGCGTTTGTGAAATTCACATTCTGCTATGTAGGCCTAGTGGTATTGACATTGTTATAGAGTTCTTGCTTCCACTCTTTTTTGAATTAAAGCTGTGGTACTACACTGATAACGGAGCCCAACGTTTGAACTCCTATTTGGTAGGTCGTGCCACATTATTGTTGGCGTTGTTTTCCTGTGCTGCTTGCTTTGTGGACTTCTTGTAGGCACTAAGTACCTGTAAAGAATTTGATACATAATAGCTAAAAGAGTTTGTATTTAATTAGTTGACATCCAATGCGAGTAAACTATTGAGGGCAAATTGGCATCCCCATTCTGAAGCTTGATATGATACATTGTACCTGCTGTAGTTTATTGGGGTAGCTTTTCTTGTTTCCTTGTTTTACAATGTAAGCCGCTAGTCTTCCTGCATTTGATGAAGTTTTGATGTTTGTAGGATGTAATTTTTATCGCCACCCGGAGGATAGCTAGACCTCCCAAGAGAGGTTCAGCTGCTCAACGACCACGCAGCAGAACTCTTACTTCTGTCCATGACGCCATATTGGAGGACTTGGTTGTTCCTGCTGAGATTGTTGGGAAGCGTACTAGGTATCGCATTGATGGCTCCAAGATAATGAAGGTAACATTATGAATCACTACATTAAGTGGTATCTTCTTGCTTAAATAGTTTATGGTTGTGGTTAACTGGAATAGTCTTTTGGGTGAAGTAATAGTACTGCTTGTGCATTTTCACTATTGTCCTGCATGTTTTCTTTCTTGATATCATTTTCTGCGTGATAACTTCTTCTGATTTCATTTAAAAGGGGCAAAAGCTCTGTTGTGGTGGTTCCTGATTTGTTTTTCATCCCTTTTCGTGGATAGGTGTACTTGGACCCAAAGGAACGAAACAACACAGAGTACAAGTTGGAGACCTTTTCAGCAGTTTACAGAAAGCTTTCAGGCAAAGATGTTGTGTTTGAGTACCCCATCACTGAGGCTTAAGGAAACAAAATGCTTGTCCTCGTCTATTTGATGTGAAACTACAGTTTAGTGGTTCCTTCTTTGAAATTTTGGCAATTTCATTTTGTTTAGAATGCAGAGAACCTTGTGAAATTTCTATTGATTTTCACTTAAAACCGTATTGCTATGCCATAGATTTCTGGCTTATTTGAACTTGGTTTCATTTGCTCTCCAACTGTCTGTTCGTGTGTGATACTCGGTAGATGGCACTTCCTTAGTATGTTAATTGGTGAAGAGTTTAAAGCATATGTTATCAATTTCATAAGTCACAATGTAAATACTCAAATCGGAAACAACCTCTCTACCTTCAGAAGGGAGGGGTAGCAGTTTCTTCTTTTCTTGCTTTGTATAGTTGGTAAAATAGTGTTCAACTCACCTAGTAGGTGTGACATTTTTAATTTTTAACTTTTATAAATTATATGGATGGTCCGAACTTATTAAATTGGAAACAATAGGCATACATTTGTTTAGCTCCTAATCCAACTTTACTCATGACACAATTGAAAATTAATTTTGCGTCAGAAAAGCAAAATGGAGATGCCAATACAAAAGAAAAAAGTTACAACTACGAGGGTGGGTAAACTGCTGTTCTTTAATTTCTTGTTTATCAACACATTTTGTGAGGATTCCCATTTTGCAGACTTTTTGTCTCAACCCCAAGAAATATAAAGAGGCTGGGAAAAAACCAAGAAGTTCTTATACTATGATTTATTGGATACATTTCATTTCAGCTCTGAAATGGAACTATTTTTAGATATGACAATGTTGTTTCTTATGTGGTGAAATCATGCACACAAACTAAGGTTGGAGGATTCAGATTTCGGAGCCCCGTGATCTACTCCATTTTTTGTCAGTGCTAGACTTGTTTTTTTCCTTCTCTTGGAATTTTCCTCTCTTATCTTGTTTAAAGAGTTTCTTTTTTGTTCGGTCACGTGAAGGCCGACATTAAAGTGAAAATATAATTTTTGGCTATTTAAATGATGTTCATTCTATGGGGTCCTCCATTGTAGTAATTATGTAATAGTATGACTCATTATTTTGAGTTATTCTCAACCATCATATTTCTCTAGATGGATAGAACTTTAATTATTCATTTGTTAAAGAATTTTGAGTATCAACAGTGCTAATTAGGGATTTGACGCATGATTCATCCTAGGAACTGATGGACGAGCACCGAGTAATGAGCATAGGCGTATTTCAAGCGCAGAGTCAGGCACTTGGGACGTGAGCCTCAGGGCTTTCGGATGGTGCTCCGCCCCGAGAGCTCCTAGGCGAGTCCCAAAAAAGCTTTTTCAAACACTAATAACACCCTCGATATGTGCAAGAAAATATACAGTTAGATAACTTAACAAGACAGGAAAAAAAATATCAAGATTTATCTTCTCTTGCATGTCGACAAAACAGGACGATTGAAGTTTGCACCAATTCAGCAAAATATCCCAATTGCGTGAAAAAAAATGATACTCCTACTGCAGTTGCCTCTTGTCATTATTTTTCAAGTTTTTTTTTTTTGTCCTTTTTCAGGTAATTTGAGTCTTATATATTACGGCATGAATATAGCAACATCATATCCATAAAAACAAACTTGTTCAATTCTCAGAAAAAGAAAATGACAAGTTCAAACAACAAAAACAATGAGCAAGAATGCTTGCACGAATCTTGGATGAATCTTCAACATGCAGAATTAAGGGAACTTGAACAAGCTGCAGCAGCTAACAGACCAAAAGATGAACAGAAACAAACTCAACTCATTGAAAAAATTATAAAACATTTTCAAGACTACTGTACCAACCGTAGTCGCTTAGCCCAAAAGGACGTCTCACCATTCTTTGCGCCCACCTCGTGCACCCCATTAGAGAACTCAGTCCTATGGATCTGTGGGTGCAGACCATCTTCATTCATACGTCTCATTTTCACTCTCTTCTGCGGTGTGGAAATCGAGTCTTATATCACTCAGTTCCTTCAGGGTATCACAAGAAATGGCGAAATCCATGAGTTTACAGCGAAGCAAATGAATATGGTGGACGAGTTACAGAGCAAGACGATTCGAGAAGAAAGGAAGCTTTCATCAAGATTGGCTAGTTTGCAAGAAGAGATAGTAGACCAGCCGCTCTTTAGCAAGACGAAGAAGAAGATAGAAGGAGATAATGATGATGATGGTGGTGGTGGTGTAGACTGTGAGAATGCAGATGAACCGTTGGATAAATATAACAAATACATGGCGGCTATAATGGAGGAAGCTGATGAGTTGAGGATGAAGACATTGAAAGAGATTGTGGTAATACTTGAACCAGATCAAGCTGTGGAATACTTAGCAGCAGCTAAGAAGATTAGGCTTTGTATCCAACAATGGGGCAAGAAGAGAGATCATGATAATACCAACTCATGTAATTAAAAAGAAAAACATGCATGAGGGTATGGTGTATTTTGATGAGCTTGTTTAATTTGTTTTGTACTAGTTTAGGATACTTTGTGTTTGATGTTTGAATTAGAGCTCGCTTGGATTGCCTAAAAAAAAGTGGCTTTTCAGCAGAAATAAGCTAAAAAAGCAATAAGTTAGAGGTTGCCCAACTTATTGCTTTTGGTTTGTTTTAAGCAGTTTTTAACTTATTTTAAACGCTTTTAAACTTTGTCAAACACTAAAAAAAAGCTAAAAAGACATTAAAAGCTGATTTGACCAACTTAAAAGCCAATTCAAACACCCTCTATAGTTTTGCACCTACCAGTACTCCAAATATATATTCCTCCGTTCTCTTGTTTGACTGAGCAGGGAGTTAAAAAAGAAAAAAAGAGGCGGAGCCATGATTTAAAATTTATGGGTTCGGTATTCTAATATTTGTAAGTTACTGGGTTCCAAATTAATAATTTGTGCATAATTTAATAATTTTTAAGATAAATACAGAGTTTGGACAAAAGTTATTAGGTCAGTCGAACCCGTGTCCGAAAGGCTACATTGATGGACTGAGAAGGAATGAAATGCAGCATAATTGATATTGTCTTCAAACCGTTTAGTAGTTAAGCAAAGCTAGAAGCAACTCTACTTTGAGGGATGATCAAAGAATTCCAACATTAATCTAAAATGATAGTATAGTACAATTAATCTAAACTTCTTTAAACATTGAGGTAGAAGTTATTCCAAAAAAAGCCTACCAATTGTATGTTATCTAAGGATGATTTTGGACATTGTAACCAAAACCAGTATAAATAAAAGAATCAAAGAATAAGCATTTGACCTTTAGATAGCTGGAAATGTTCAAATGATGGAACTGAAACTTTCAATGGGATCAGACTCTTCAAGCATGGAAGCTGCCTGGAAACAATCAGCAGCATCAGCTACCCGTCCATCGTCTCTATGAACCAATCCCAAGTGGTACCAAGCTACGCGATTGGTAGGTTCGATCTTCAATGCATCCGAGAATAATGCTCTTGCCAATGGCAACATTTTCGACCCCATTTTAGCCAATAAAGCACCAAGCAAGATCTTGCATTGCACATGATTAGGCTCTACTAATAGTGCATTTACATACGCAGCCAACGCTTTGTCATTTTCTCCCCGTTTTTCAAGCATCACACCTGAAACAAATGGAAATAGAAGAATCAGTAGAAGTTTACTCTGCTTATCTTTTTCCCTTTCGTTAAGAAGGAAGCTTTTAGGTATCGAAGACAAAACCGCAGCTGATATGTACGCAAGCAGCCTTATTATACCTCATAACTTGGTAAGTTTTACTCAGTATTAGACTACTGCTCTAATAATTACAATCTAAATCTCCATAACCACAATACAGAAGAATTGTGTTGGTGAAATTGTCTTTTATTAATAATAAGTATTATTGCTTTTTTGTTGGTGGAAGGGGAGCCTTGGCTTAACTGGTAAAGTTGCTGCCATGTGACCAAGAGGTCACGGGTTCGAGCCGTGGAAACAGCCTCTGACAGAAATGCAGGTTAAGGCTAAAATAGACCCTTGTGGTCCGGCCATTCACCGGATCCCGCGCATAGCGGGAGCTTAGTACACCTGGTTGCCCTTTTTTTGTTGGTGAAATTGCCTCTTTTCAATGTCAACTTATTGCTGTCAATGACGCCAGACAGCCACCAAACTTGTCATCATTTTCTTAGAAATGATAAATACAACTACAAGCGCACTAATATAGACAAAAACAAAGCCATAGACAACACATTGTTCAAAATTTCTCCACTCTCCTTGATTTCCAACTTTAATTCCAGCGCTTTTCTACTTTTCTTGGTAACAATGGTGTCTGGACCAGCTTGTACGCATCTCAACTAGTGTTCCAACACATTCTACTTTCACTGCCTATTACACTATGATGAGTTGAATGTTAACTTAGAATTATTTACAAGCAATACAGACATCTTGTTACTCCCATGTAAACTGTATTCTCAGAGAAACAAGAAGGCCCCTGGGGATTGAAGTTTAAACACTGTTTCTATAACTTCACATCCAAAAGCGTAGCACCTCTCTGTTTGTAGAGGGGGGAAATGCTATGATCAGCAGAGGTGGATCCAGGATTTAATCTCTATGGGTTCAACCTTTAAGGTTTTTAACATTAAACCTATTATATTTTTAAAGTTACGGGTTCATGTCTGCGATCTATTGCAATTTTAGTGAAGTTTTACACATAAATTTATGCTCCGCTACGAAAGTTATATGGTCAACTGAATCCGTAACTATAGTGGTACATCAGCTCCTAATGATCAGAGAGAAGGGAAAGGAAAAGAAATAAAAGAAGGGTAAATGTAAGAGAATTATTTAGCTTTCTTTCTTCATATGGAGAGAATTTGTCAAAGAAGATGGGCCAATATTGTTAGATGTTCAAGACAGAATAAAAATATTTGGTCTCTGTAGTTGAGGAATTTTACTTCTTTGAACATTCTCTATCCTCTTCATTAATAAGCAAAAGGGATGGTAGAATTTCTAACTATATCATTGTTCCCCTCCTATCCAAACACAGAGAAGTCTTTGTAGGATAAGGGACATCATGAACATGGGCGTATCTAAGCCTTGGGTATAGGTTCACGTGAACCCATACTCCTCTCCTTAAACCATGTATAAAAAAGGGCAGCCCGGTGCACTAAGCTCCCGCTATGCGCGGGTCCAGGGAAGGGCCGGACCACAAGGGTCTATTGTACGCAGCCTTACCCTGCATTTCTGCAAGAGGTTGTTTCCACGGCTCGAATCCGTGACCTCCTGGTCACATGACAGCAACTTTGCCAGTTACGCCAAGGCCCCCCTTCCAAAAAATCATGTATAATAATGTTATAATTTTTTTCAAAATTACTTAACTATATGTGCGTGCACCCATGCTCAAAGACTCCTATGGTGCAACAATTATTGGGTGCACCTCTACGAGTAAAATTGGCGGTTCAAATCCCACTTCGGACGGTCTTATTTTCGGCTCGGAGCATTGATATATACGTGAAAATGACTAAAAATTTAAAAAAAAATGTAATTTTGAACCTATAATTTCAAAAATGTAGTGAGTTCATGGTAAGAGACTAAAGTTAAACACGTGATTCTAGATCCACCTCTTCACAATAGTGCACCCATCTTCTTGAAATTCTGGATCCGCCTCTTCATGAAGCTAGTTTACAAGATCCTCAAAATGCTTTTGACGTGTATGCGACAAAATAAATAATAGGAAGGATTGTACTCAGTAGGTGCCATTTTTGTTCCTCTACCACTCATTTATAGAAACAAATTAAGCAGTTTTGAGTTGTATCTATTAAAAACTTCTCATAACCAGAAAGCAAATGAATCAGAAAAGAATGGTAGAGCTTCATGTTGATTTTGTAGTAACATAAAATGAAGTGACTTATAAGCTCTTAATTACTCTTTACTAAACTCTGATGGCACAATGGACACCATAACATACGTCAGTCTTTTAGAAGAAAACAAATGTAAGATTTTGCTTATAGCAACATCTACTCAAGTTTCAGTAAACTTCACCGATACCAGAGTTTGTGACATTTTAGAGGTAAGTTCCTCAACCCCCCCCCCCCCCCCCCCAACCCCCACCCCACAACCATTCCGCTCTATTTGTACTTGTTTCCATCCAATACTATTAGGGGTTTGCTAACTAGAGATACTCTAAAAATTTTATGGACATATTAAATATCTAAACAAACTAAAAAGACTTCTTGTGAATACCAGACTTAGTGTAGGAATACCAACACAACTAAGCCTTAATCCTAACTAGTTGGTTTCACCTATATGAATCCTTTACCTATATCAAATGTGCAGTATCAAAACCGTATTTCAGAAAGTTCTCAGATAACAGCCATAAAAACATTGAAGGGGCGTGTAATGCTAAAGGAGGAGGAAGAGAAACATGCTTGAACTTCACAAGGTACAAAGTAAACAAGCACCATGCAGTTTCTCAATTCTCCTATTATTACTACTCCTATAACTAAATTTAAAATAACATATAAAATGTATACTACTGTAAATGAGTACATAGAAAATCTAATGCAAAGTAGATCACACAAGAAGCATTGTCTTAAAACTGTTAGGAGGGTTTCTCCCAGGTCAGGCGAAAGGTGCAAAAAAAGGAAAAGCTAAATTCTAATTCGAAGGTAACAAAGGCTACTTTATCTGAACCCGCCAACGATAAGCACAGATCCAACACTTCAAAATGCAACATTTTGCTATTTCTATATTAAAGAGTACCTACATGAGTCAGAATTGCATGAATGAGGTAATTTTCCAAATCCTATTTGGGTTACTCACAACCATGTTAGGCCAACACCTCAGTCTTAGTTGCAATCACCTTTTTTACTTTTAATGAATTTGATATCAAGTAAAGAAAATGAAGAAAGAAAGTCAATTAACAGACTAAAAAATAGCTGGATCTGTCGTTATAAATTAAGTTCATAATCTTGCCTTCTGTATGCAAAGTGTCTGCTGAATACTCGATAAGCGCTCTAGCTTTCTCCAAACATGTCTCTGCATCCTTCCAATGTGAAAGGCTAGAGTACAAGTTTGCCAGGCCATGCCAAACTTCATATTCATTTACGTTATCTTCCTCCGCCTGTAATTGATAATTACAAAAAGAAAATGAATGTAATGAAGTCAGAACCCGAAACATAGCTTATATGGCAAGCCTCTTCTATTCTATCATAATAGAAGTTAAAAAAAATTCAGCGGAACGGCACCAAAGCAAGTCACAGAATAACTACAGGCAAACGTAAAATGGGCTTTCCTAATATGTATTCTTCTCTTCATTTATAAGACCACTAGAATAAACAATAGAAAGGAATAGGCACACATCCGATCTCACTGTTTGATAACATAAGGAAATCAAGAGTACCAAAATACAGAATAGTATCTATAAAGCAAGGAATGGGTGTAAAAACAGCCCATTCATCCTTTCATACAGTTGTCCTATTCACCTCCACTTTGCCCTTTTGCACCACTAATGACAGAAAACTCACCCAAACCGCTCGTGCACCTCAATAGACCCAAATACAACTATCCTTTTGTTTGAGAATGCAATTACAACTATTAACAAGAGAGTCAGGAGCCAAGTAAAATGATTTAATTTATTTCTTAATTCTGGGGAGAGCAGGGGCAGGCAGAGGGGAGAAGGGGGAGCCAAAACTGGTTTTGAAATTGTAACTGTTTCAAAATCAGAATCTCACTAAACAGTGATTACTTCTATCCCAGTTCTGAGTTCCGAATGCGACTACTATGGGGCATCTGCTGGTGGGAAGTGAAAAGGAAAATCTGAGATATACATATATGTTTCCGTTACAGTTACTAGAAAATACAATCTAACCTGAGGTGCATTTCTGAACGGTCCATAAGATTTCCTTTGAGTTTGAACCAGTGCAAGGAGATAACGATAAGTTTCAATGGCATCCATGTGCCGCGACTGGGATATTTTTAGCTTAGCTTTCATTCTTAACAGAGGTCCTTGATCCCACTTTACAGTCTCCTCTAAGGCCGCATCAGTAACTACTTCAGCCTCTGTATAGTGTTGTTGAGCAGACAGAACTAAAGCAAGCAGTCTCCAACCTCTTAGAGCAGATCCTCCTGTTGTATCAAGATACTTTTTTGCATAGCCCAAAGCTGCATCCAGATTACGGTGCTCTGCATATTGAACACCTAACTCAAACATCAAATCTGAATTTTCATTCTCTAAAGCCATTGCACCATCTAAAGATTTCAAAGCCTCAGATTGAAGACGTGATCTCTCAAAGTCAGAGGTTGCAACTTTAGCCTGCTTCCCCAAACAGAGACCTAACATGCGGAGACCAACACCTTTCAAGTGTTCATTTGAACCCTGTGCATTAGTTATTGCCCTCTGTGCATACTTCACTCCCTCAGCAGCAAGATAGACCTCCTCAGAGCAAATTTTAGCAGCCAACAACAGTGAGAGAATGTCATCAGGTTCTTCATCTTTATGCAGAGACTTCCTCAGCAGACTTAAGGACGTTTTGTTCTGTCCGGCTGCGCTATAACAAAGAGCCAAAGCTCGCCATCGGTCAATCCTGTTAAGTACCCCTGGCATTACCTCTTCAAGTTGCTTAGCTAAAACAGAGGTTTGGCTGCATACAGACAGAGCAAATGTAAGGTGCTCTAAAACTGAAGGGTCCCATTTGATCTTACCAAGGTAAACTTTTCTCATTAGAATCATAAACAGCAGGATTGCTTCTTCCAGATTGTTCCTAGGTACATAAGAACCGTCAATTTGCACAGCTAAGCTTGGTGGGCATACCTCAACCCCACTATAAAGCAAAAACACAGCAAAAGCTTTTTGAATCCTTGCACAGCAGTCATTATCAAGATTCCATTGGCTTAAGAGGGCACGGCGGTAGGCAGTCATTGCTTCAGAATAGCAACCAGCTTGCTTCCATAGCTCTGGAAGGAGCTCAACAGCATGGCTGACGGTTTCTTGCAGCTTATTCTCCACAAGTACATCAGGTATTCCATTATCGAATATCTTCTCTACAGCATCAAGCACACTTTGACACTCATGAGCAGCCTCTACAAATTTCCAACCAAAGAAAGGTCTGTAAATAATCAAATCAAAGAAATAGCAATTATTCATTATCTTGGATAAACTATTGAAATTGCCTTGTACCAGTCAGTCTCCCAAGCTTCTGAAGGGACTTTGCTTTCAAATATATGGCCTCGAGCACCAGACCAGCAGCATGCTGTGAGATGCCCGGCACAGACTCAACGCTGCGAGTGCGGCCCTTTTTAGAAGGTTGTTTCTCAGTAACAGAAGGCTGCATTCTCTGTATGGCAGATTGGAGATCAATACCATCAAACACCCTAAGAGCACCTTCCACATTTCCTCTTTGATATTCCAATCTTCCAAGCAGAGCTCGCGCTTCCTGCAATCAAAACTATGAATCATCAACAAACGCATGCCTTCAAACCTTTAAGTTCATGTTGATGACAATCAGAAGGGAGAGATAAAGGAAGTAGAAAAAAAACATTTATAAATTAACACAACTTAAAGTGCTTTCAGGAAAATAAGATAAAATACATTGACGTCAACAAGCATTTCAAATTGACATGCAAATTCGACCTGAATCCTAGTTTTAAATACAATCCGACCAATACTAATCCTGTCAAAACAAAAAAAGGTTTAAAGTCCTTAGTTTCTTTTTTCTAGACAAGAAGCCACTATGTATTTTGCTTATTCAATCGAAGTCTGTAATTCCTTTAATGCAAGGTAATTGAACATAGACTTTCACCTGAAACCTAAAGCATCACCAAATGATAACAGATGAGAAAACTCACAACTCGCAGAGACTTTAAGTAAGGCATTATGCCTATATTGATGTAAAGCATACAACATAATAATATAAACTCACAACTCAAGACTGGGTTCAATAATTATCACTTGAAGTCTAAGAGATTAATGTGACTTGACTCTCAAACTCACAATCGATGAATTCCTACAAACATTTAAGCGGCCACAAAAGAATACCGGGGGCGATCATGAATTTAATCGAAGAAAGCATTCTCTCCTAACTTATCATTATGAGTTTGTTACACGAAAAATAAAAAGATGCAGTAGGGATGCAAAGGAAAAACGACATAAACTTTGGGAAACACTGACCTCAAAATTGAGGGATAAACCATCACGCAATGCAGATTCAGCCTCTTGAATGTTTCCTTCATCAAGTTTTGCTTCAACAACGGTTGTTTGCATGCAAATCCCATTTGCACAAACTTGCCTGACTGATGGATCAACATCAACCTGCCCTAATTCTGCTGATTCGTTTCCAGACATCTCTAACCCCCCCACTTTCTATGCTCACTACATTTGGAAATAAAAACATGATTAACAATGAAATTTGATCCCTTAGCTTCTATAGCTTCAAGAAAATGTGCAAAGCCTTTGCCCATTTTCGTTCTTGATATTAATATATACAACAAGCGACATATTAACTACCCAATTGGTGAAAAGATCCATCATTTTTATAAAACACACACACACACACACACACAAAAAAAAAAAAAAAGAGAGGATGCAACAGAATGCAAAGAAAGAAAAAAAAACTTAAACTTTGGCGACCACTCACCTCAAAATATCATTTTTCAATCACAATTCTATGCATTGAAATAACCAAAACTGTGAGAGGTATGAAAATTGAATCTTGAAATTCAAAGCAACAGAGAATTTCAAAATCAGATTAAAAGGGAATGGCTATTACCTGAAATGTTGTAGATTTCGGTGGCAGATGAATGGTATTATAGGTTTATTATTTGTACAGCCAAAATGGGTCAAAATATTTTCTGGATCAGAAAGGGAGAGGGAAAGAGAAAGAGGAGGAAAAGAAGAAGAAGAAGAAGAATGGTGACAGCGTTGTTGAGTTTTGACTTATGATTCGGAATATCCTAAAAAAAACAAAAGGGAGATAAGTACAAACGGTCCAGGTTTTATATTCCTCTACATTTGGGACTTTTGTACTTACCGCCGGCAAGATATTTCAAAAAAACTTATCCCACTAATTTTATGCACAAAATGTTAAACGTATTATATTAAATATTAAATAATAAATGGAGCTAAGCATATAAATTAATTTATCTTATTAAGTAATAAATCTTATGCAAAATGCATTTATTGCTAATTTATTATACCTTGCCCAGTTAATTACTTTTAAAATATTACTTCATGTAATTTCTTCCTCTTTCAGTTTTCTATTTTTGGATTGATTGCCATTATTTAGCTGGCAAAAAACATTTTCATACCCGATATACATTACTCGTAGATTCAACATAGAATTACCCCTTCATATATTATATTAATAGAAAAGAACAATTGGGTAGTTTACTCGCACATGCGTTTGCTTCTAAATTTGTCCAAACTGTTTGAGAATTAAAGATGATTGATCGTCCAGGTTGAACAAATTAAAGATAATTAACGATCGTGAGTAAAATAAGGGGCTGTCATGTGTATTGTCAGCAAAGCTCAACTTAAAGAGCCCGTTTGGCCATGAAATTTTTTTCACTTTTTGTCGAAATCAGCGTTTGGCTATAAAATTTTCAATTTTCACTTGAAGATGAATTTTGAAATTTTTCGAAAATTTAAAAAACTCCAAAAAACTGTTTATCAAAATTTTCACTCAGATCACTCAAAAAAATACAAAAAGAACTCAAAATTATATTCATGTCCAAATACTACTCTAATTTTCAAATATCATTTTCTCTTGAAAAAAAAAATAACACATTTTTTCCAGAAATTCACAATTCTTATGTTCAAACGCCCACTTAGACAAAAAAATTTAGGCGATTTTTTACCTGCCTAAGCTTTAAAAGACAGAATTATTAGTACATATACTAGTGAAAGAGAGTAGATATTCGATTAAACAACCGAAATACCATCATAAAAAAGAGAGTACATATATTATACATTCAATGAAAAATGCTATATTTGTAACTTTTTTTTTTCATATAACAGGGGTAACTATTATCAAAAGATATCTCATGTTGTAACATTGCAACAGATGTATTTGCCAAAGAAAAGGAGGAAGATTGATATCATTGACCGCTCACCTAGATTGTCATAATTTAAATGCAGTTGGATTTTTAATATTTAGTTCAACATTTCGTTACCAGAACTTCTTTAGTCAACAATTAATTCGACTGTTGAATTACCCCACGGTATACATCAAATCAAATAATTTAATTTTAATAGCTAAAAATTAAAATAAGAATACATATCTTTTGACAAGGCATTCGTATATATTTATTAATTTGATATAAATAATAAATGCGGATAAATTTTTATCTTTAATATGTGCGGCTATATATCTATAGTTATTTTGCATGGATCTTAATTAATTATTAGTAGTATATTTATGTATCTACTTTCCATTATTGCGATGAAGCTGCTTTCGCGCACAGTGGCACTTGTCATGTGATCCCAAAAACCAAGGAAGAGAAAGATACTTGTGATACTGCACTGGGCTCATTCATATGTCTCAACTAGGGGCGGCAATCGGGCGGGTCTGATCGAGTATGAGCGGGTCAAAATGAGTTATACAAAATAGATAAATTATCGAATTTGAACCATATTTAATACTGATAAAAAATGGATTAATCGGCGGATAATACGGTTATCCATATTATTCATGGCTTCTTGATTATGACTACTTTTGGGAGAATTCTTAGCTAGCGTATGGCCATAGATTCCCAAATTTGTTTTGAAAAATCTGATTTGGGTGAAGTTTGGTTTGAAGATGAAATGTGTTTGGACATACGCTTTCAAAACATATTTCCCAAATTTATTTTAGAAAAACATGTATATTATTAGTTTGTAAAGATTTTGGCCCAAAACCAGATATTGATCTCGTTTTGAAATTTTGCCAAAATATAAGCAAAATCTACAACTAAACATGTGTTTGCCAAATAAAACCCAAGTTTATTTTGGCAAAATCTATTGCCAAACGGGTCCTTAGTCTTCCAAACTTGAGTAACCCCAAACCCATTAGTTATCCATTGGTTATCTATTTTCTAAGTGGATAATATGGTTCTTATCCATATTTGACCAATTTTAAAAAAGTTTTTTATCCAACTCATTATCCACTGTTGGTGTGTTTCTGCTCCGACCTCCAAGTGATACCTTATTCAACAAGATTAGAGTTAATTTTGTGGTTCAGCGGCAAGTCAGTGAAACTCCTTTAATGATAGTAACTAAAACAGAGGATTATTTGTAAATAAAATTTGGATGTTTTGTTTGGAGGAAAAACAGAAGATGATGAAGTTGTTATGTTGAGGAAGAGGCAAACCCGAAAATAAAGAAGATAAAGAACACCAAATTTTAACGTGGAAAACCCTTCAAATCGAAGGTAAAAACCACGGGATCACAAAGATCCAAAAAACTCCACTATAACAATAAGAGGGTTACAAAAGTTCTCCAAATTGGCCACACAACAAGGGCCAAACACGGAGCAACAATAGCAACAAGAGCAACAACTAATCAATTGAAGAAAGAGTATAATCCACAAAACGAAGCTGCTGTTCGAGGCTCAAAATCAGATGCTACAAGCTTCACCGTTCAAATCCAAGACCAAGATGTTACGAACACTCAGTCAAAATTTCAGCCCGATCCAACGGTTAACGAATCAGAAAATGTGATTTGAAGTTGGCTGGTCGGAATAAAAATCTGCAGCAAAACAAATACTTTTCTTCTATCTTCTCTCTTGATGAAAGCTCTCTCTAAACCACTCTTATGTGATTAAGTCTTTCAAAGACTTGCATCAATGAACATAGAATAATTCTCCAAGGTTTTCCTATTTATAGATCATGAGTGGTGCTTTCTCTTAAAGCCAAAACCCACTCAAAATAGGAATAAACACCGAATCCAATTCCGAAGAGGAATGGAAACCAAAAGAGAATAGGATTAGGCCATTGGGCCTTTGGCTGGACAACATGGGCATGAGCCCAACAAACTCCCCCTCCAGCCAAGGGGCCAAATGTGTCTTCAAGTAGAGGAACTATTGACAGGTTTCATGCCTGCCAATTTTTTGCAAAATTCATGTTTATCTGCAACCACCGCCTTTGTCAGCATATCCGAAGGATTTTCATCAGTGTGTATCTTCTCAACCTCAAATAATTTCTCTTCCACGGCCATTCTTATCCAATGATACTTTCTATTTATATGTTTGGTCTTAAAATGAAAAGTGGAATGCTTGGTGAGACATATAGCACTCTGATTATCACAAAATAAGATGTACCTTGGCTGCTCAAAGCCAAGATCATTAATAAACTCCTTCATCCATAATAGTTCTTTGGCACCTTCTGTGACAACAATATATTCTGCTTCTGTGGTGGATAGAGCTATGCACTTCTGTAGTCTAGATTGCCAAGAAACTGCTCCCCCTGCAAAGGTGATCAAATAACCGGAAGTCGATCTTGAATTATCAAGATTGTCTCCTAAATCAGAGTCTGTGTAACAAACAAGTTCAGGCTTGCCATTGCCAAAGCACAACTTCAAATCTGCAGTACCTTTCAAATACCTTAATATCCATTTTACTGCATCCCAATGTTCTTTTCCAGGATTGGAAAGGAATCTACTAACAGTACCAACGACATGTGCAATATCTGGTCTAGTGCAAATCATAGCATACATCAAGCTACCAACGGCATAAGAGCAAGGAATACGAGACATCTCCTTTTTCTCTTCATCAGTAGATGGACTCTGACTAATACTCAGTTTGAAGTATTTAGCAAGAGGTGTACTAACCACTTTTGCATCTGTCATATTGAACCTCTTGAGTACCTTCTCAATGTATTGCTTTTGGGACAGAAATAACTCCTTTCTGTCTCTATGTCGGTGGATTTGAATGCCCAAGATTTTCTTTGCTGGCCCCAAGTCCTTCATCGCAAACGATTTGCTCAACTGCTTCTTAAGGACTGCGATTCTGGATTTATTCTTGCCAACAATAAGCATGTCATCCACATAAAGCAATAAAATAATAAAATCATCATCAGAGAACTTCTGGAAGAATACACAGTGGTCTGAAGAAGTTTTCTTGTACCCTTGTTCTTCTATGACAGATTCAAACTTCAAATACCATTGCCTTGGAGCTTGTTTCAATCCATACAGGCTCTTTTTCAATTTGCAGACATAATTTTCTTTTCCCTTAGTTACAAAACCTTCAGGTTGCTCCATATAAATCTCCTCATCTAAATCACCATGAAGAAAAGCAGTCTTGACATCCATCTGCTCAACCTCTAAATCTAGACTTGCGGCTAAGCCTAGAACCACACGAATAGAAGACATCTTCACAACATGGGAGAAAATTTCATCAAAGTCAACTCCCTTCTTCTGGCCAAAACCTTTGACAACTAACCTCGCCTTGTATCTAGGCGCAGAGGTATGGTTATCTTGCTTTATTCTGAATATCCATTTGTTAGATAAAGCTCTCTTACCTTTCGGCAATATCACTAACTCATATGTGCCATTCTGATGGAGTGACTTCATCTCATCTTCCATCGCTTCGATCCAATGATCTTTGTGATTATCTTGCATGGCATCATCATAATTCTCAGGTTCTCCCATGTCAGTCAAAAGTACATACTCATCAGGAGGGTAGCGCATGGATTTTTGCTTCTCCCTTGTAGATCTTCTAAGAGAGGTTTCAAGAGCATTCGAAGTAGTTACCTGTGCAGGAATTGGTTGCTGATTAACCACAACTTCATCAACTGGAGCATCCATAACATCTATACCATGATATCATTTTGATCTTGATCACTATCTCCATCATTGTTTAGCTGGCAAACAGAAAAGGGTTTCCTTTCATAGTCATCCTCCCTCAAGAAAGCCCGATTTATTGGAGCTAGTACACTCTGATTTGTGTGGTCCTTTTAAAGTAAAGTCAAAAGGTGGTGCACTTT